CTGGGTGGGTGGGAGGGAGGGCTAGAAGCCAGGATTTTCAAAGTAGCCGGGAGCCAGCAGCTTTCTCCCCTCCCCCTGCGCCCGCTGCCTTTCCCGGGGCCCACCAACTCCCTTCCAGAGTGTGCAGGTGTGGAGGCGAGCCCTAGGAAGGTGGGAAAGCGGGACCTGAGGATCCCGAATCACCCTCGTTGGACAAGCGGCTCCCGGAGGAGTCGGAAGCGTGGGTGCGAGGGGTTCAGGGGGCCTGGGGGGGTGTACCTGGTCTGGGAGCACGCGCTGCAGGATGGTGCTCCATCCCGGTTCAGAGCCCCCCCGCAGCCCGCACTCACCTGAGCTCCAGGCAAATGATGAAGGGAAGGCGCTCACCAGCGTAGGTACGTCGGGTCCCCTCTGGAATCCCGAAGGCCAGGCCCCCACCCAGCCTCTCAGGAGGCGGAGCGAAGGGGCCAAGCCTGGAGTCGAGCCTCCGTCCCGAGGGCCGGCCTGGCATAAGGAGAGGCTGCATGCACCGCGCCGCTTGGTTAGCTGGCTCTCAGCCCGGAACCGTCAAGGTGGGGATGGCGGCGCCCCTCCCTCCGATGTTTTCGGGGTCCGAGCGCTTCGCTGCTCCAGATCCAGCTGGCCTGTCCTCGGCCAGCGGAGAGTCTCCGCCCCCTGGCGGCGTACCTGGCCTTCAGGTACCCGCGTCCTTCCGGAGCCCCGTTGCAATTCTGAAGCCAGGCGTTGGGGCCGTTCGCTTCCTCCCACGCAGGCGCTTGGCCCTTCCCGCCCGCCCACTGACCCTGAAGGAACCCAGACACTCAGAGGAAGGATACCTGGGTGCAGGTAGGTGGCTAGTCCTTCCGCACCCCGCCCGGCCTTCCGGGGGAACGGAGGAGTCGCTTGCCCAGCTGCGCCCTGAGAGATGGGGACCTGGGGCAGCCCTCAGGGACCCAGGTACCTGCGCTTCTCGCCTCCTGGAGGCCCTGTGTGCAGGGGGGCGGCTCATTCGCCATCCCTGCCCGGTCCACACACTCGGAACACAAAAGTCTCAGCCGCCCCGCCCGCCCGCCCTTTCTTGGCATTGGGGTGCAGCGCTCTTCAACTCTCAAACAGTAGACTTATCAGAGGCCTACCAAACCCCAAAGCTAAACGCACTGCCATCAAGTCCATGCTGGGTAGCAAGTCCTTGTGGGTAGCAGAGCTCCTGTGCGTTTCCCAGACGACTACTCTTTCCAGGAGTAGAAAGCCCAGTCTTGCTCCCGCGGAGCTGCTGGTGGTTTCCAACCGCCCACCCTACGGATCGCGCAGCCCCAACGCTGTAACCCTTGTACCATCAAAGCTCCCTGTAAGAGGCCTCCAGTGGGGACACAATGACACTAAGGAGGTACACTCACCTTAGAATCGTAAACCCACCCAAGGGCAGAGGTGGGAGGGGTTGGGAAAGAAGGAAGGATGGAAACAGGAGCTGGAAACACAGGAGGGGGTGGGACACAGGACTCCAACCGAGGGCCTTGCAATGGTGGAGCTGAAACAAAGGGTGCACAGAATCGCTGAAGGGGAACTAGAAACATTCACTCCATTCGTAATGGAAAGTGTAACAGTGAACAACCTCTTTGATAGAAGCAAACACCTCCAGGGAACCAGTGACCGGTCGCAGGGGCATGGGGAACATTGTCTCAGGGGACAAGGTCAACGGGCAGGACAGAGTCCACCAAGACAAGGTTCTGCATCCTACATTGGTTATAAGCAACAGGGTCTTAAGAGCTTGTGAGAGGCTATCTGGGTCAGTCTGGGTAGACTAGAGAAACAAATTCATAAGCACGCATATGTGTATAAGAAAGAGGTTTACGTATATACAAGAGCAATTGAATATTGGGAAAACATCCCAGCCCAGTTCAGATCAAGCCCATAAGTCCAATATTAGCCCATATGTCCGATACCGATCTATAAAGTCCTCTTCAGACTCACAAAACACATGCAATGATGCCGAGTGAAGGAAGATCACAAGCCAGTGGGTGGGAAGTCTTGTGGATCCAGTGGTGTTGTAAGCATCTCAGTGCTGGCATGGGTCTCCACATGGCTTCTCCAGTTCCCAGGGCACCGGGTCTATTAGTGTAGTGCCATGTGTCTTGTCAGTAGAGTCTCAGGGAATGAGCTGAGGCTGAGTGGGTCCCCCACCTCCAAGGTGGAAAAACTGAATTCCCAGAATTCTCAGGACAAGGTCATGCCAACACAGAGGCCTCATTGGCTATCACCCGATTGATAGGATAAACACCCCTTCACTCTTAATCCTCAAATTGACACCAAAGTATGTAACTACCACACCATCTAAGGTAGCGGTTCTCAACTTGTGAGTCTCGACCCCTTTGGGGGCCAAACGACCCTTTCACAGGGGTTGACGGATTCATATCAGTAGCAAAACGACAGTGATGAAGTGCCAATGAAAATAATGCAATTTTATGGTTGGGGGTCACCACCACATGAGGAACGGTATTCAAGGGTCGCGGCATGAGGAAGGTTGAGCTCCACTGCTCTAAGGGGTGGCCATGACTCTCTCCCTGTCCAAAGGGAAAAAGAGTAATGAACATGGAAGATGTGCAGTGTGTTAGGCTGGGCTCTCTAGAGAAGCAGCAAGCTCTCCACATTCACGCGTGAAGGAGTCTGGGAGGCCAGGGCTCCCGTGGAGGGAACCTTCACATTCATGGGTTGGAGATGCGGCCCACTCACATTCTCCTAACTAAACGTCCCCACAATGGCCCCCCTAATAATGCCAAATGTAAGGTGCTGTTTGCAAACACACGGTTGCTCACTATACTCTGGAAGGTCAACTGCTGGAAGGGTATCTGCCATCAATGCATCCAGACCTGTGGGAAACAGAACTTGGAAGAGAGTGGATGCGGACAAACTCTCAACATTCACACGTGAAGGAGTCTGGGCGGTCAAGGCTCCCATGGAGGGAACCTTCACGTCCGTCGGTCCGAGATACGGCCCACTCACATTTGCCTAAGTAAAGTTATTCCCCATCATGCCCCCCCCCATAATAATGCCAAATCTAAGGTGCTGTTTTCAAACACAGGGTCACTGACTCTACATTAGTTGGAGGTCAACTGCATGAAGATCATCTCTCTGAAGGTAGACAGCCCGCTAAGGCAATCAGACCCTATTTTCTGTCCTGCTCTGAAGTAGGACCCACACCCCTCTGATAAGGATAATGGGTTGTTCCCCTGGAGAAGAGCTCAAAGACTCCTAAGGTCAAGCTAACTCAGGGATGACCCAGGTTAGGCTGCTATCTTGACTCTAGAGCCCGCCCATCTTGTTACTTGGGCGCCTTCCTGTCACATGTGTGCCTCTAGTGCCTCCCCTTTCTATTGTGTGTATACCCCTGGCTCGTCCCCCTCCTGTTACGCTTAGGTCTTAGGTAGCTAGATTTAGGTACCAGAGGGTTGTCACTCCCATGCCTGCAAAGACCCCCATAAAGGTGGTTGGAAAGGAATCAGGCAACCATTCGACACCTACGAAGACCCCAAACTGAGCATGCTCAAGCCCCTGAGCCAGGTGGGAGGCACACCTGGGCGGTCCAAACTAGGCCCTGGCTCATGACATCACCCAGGTGGGCTCAACACAGCCAGTGGGGTCAACCAGTACCATCAACCATGCCTCCCCAGCCAGAGGCTTGAAATATCCTGGCTGTGGGAAGGCCTCTCTCTCTCTGTACCCTGTTCCTGGTAAGAGGCAGGTCAGAGGGTCCACACACGTAGTGCTCTTTTCCAGGAGGTTGCTTGTGCCCAGTTGTGCAGCCTTTTGAGATGGTAAAGCCTGACACTTCTCCCGTCCTTCATAAAAATCCATTTGGATGACAAAACAGGCTTCAGCATGAATTCTTTCATCTTGCGAAGCAAAGAACCAAGGTCTGACCCAACTCCAGAAACCTTACTACATATGTGGTTATGGGTAATTAGGTTTCCTGCACACCCCTGAGTATATATAAGCCTGGTTGGAAATATATTTGCTCTCTCTGTGCAGACTTGCCTCCTGAGGTCATGGCGGTCCTGGGGGTGTGCCCTTGCATGACTTACGTTGTCTGACGTCTATTTAAGTATACCCCTCAGTGATACAACCGCCCCTTGGACCCTTCTGATTGTGGGGGCTGATGCCCCACACAGACCCTATTGTCAATCCCACCCTAATGTGGCCCACTCCCTTCTGATGAGGATCATAGATTGTTCCCCTGAACGAGAGCTCAAAGACGCCTAATGTCAAGCCAGCTCAGAGAGGACCAAAGGTTAGGCTGCCATCTTGACTCTAGAGCCCGCCCATCTTGTTAGTATGTGCCTTCCTGTCACAAGTGTGCCTCTAGCACCTCCCCTTCCTGTTGCGTGTGCACCACTAGCTGGTCCACCCCCTGTTAAGTGTATGCATTTAATACAACCCCTTCCTCTTACATATGAGCTTACCATGGTCTGCTTGCCTGAGATTATATAAGTCTATGAGTCAATAAAATACGGTCTCCATTGGAAGAGCTGAACCCTTGCATGCTTTATCTCGTCTGATGTCTCTTTAATTTACCCTTCAATCACACAACCACCTTGGACCCATTCGGTTGTGGGGAGGCTGCCCCCCCCCCACCTCCAGCCAAAGAGCAAATACATCGTGCCAAAGTAGCCTTCCAGTGGGAGATGATGCCCAGTGGACTGCTAATGGCCCACCACCTGTTGCTCTAAATAAAGTTTCATTGTAACACAGCCACTCCTCTGTGATGCTTTCATGCAATATGGGCGGAGCTGAGTCCTTGCAACAGAGACCCTCTGGTTGGCAAAGCCAAACGTGTTTACTCTCTGGTCCTTTTGAGGGACGCAGAGAGGGGGGGGAAAGCAAAAAGAGAGGCAGGACTATGCTCCAAATAGGTGTTGCATTCATGAGGTGGACTTCTGGACAGGGGACAGAGGCTGCCTGGCAGGCTGGCGAGGCTGGTGCCAATGTTATTTCCTGCAAGTGTCTTTACCAGTCCTGGCCCGCTGGGTCTGCGCTAGAGGAGGAAGTGGGTTGGGGGAGCCTCGTTTTGCTTGAGGGATGAATGGCTCAGGGCTGGAAGGGGCCTCCTTATCAAACGCTGTGGGTGCAGGGGCCGGGGATGGTGCCAGTGTGCCAGCTTTGGGATGCCACCCTCTTTGAGTCTTCTCAAAAGTTTGTTTGCTCCTTGTGGTGTCGCTGTGGAGAGCACGTGTTGGCCAGGGCGTCAGGGGGACTGCCCCCCCGTATAGAAACCTATAACCAAGCCTAGCTGGGTTTCCACAGTGTGCCGCTGGGTGGATCCAAGCCACCTTTTTGAATGCAGACTGTCTAATCCAGTCACCCAGAGACGTTCCTCTTCGACACTTTCATTGATTTATTTGCTTTGGGTTTTTTTTTTTTAATCATTTTCTCGGGAGCTATTATTTGCCTTTGTAAATTGTGTGTGTGTGTTTAATATCCCCAATAAAACCGAACTCGCTGCCCACGAGTGGATGCTGACTCACTGTGACCCTATAGTTCAGGGTAGCATTGCCCCTGTGAGTTTCCAAGACTAATTCTTTACGGGAGTGGAGAGCCCAGTCTTTGCTCCCACGGACCAGCTGGTGGTGTTGAACTGCCGGTCTTAGTGGGTCCCAACCCACGGTCACACGACACCACCAGGGCTCCTGTGTTTGAACATGAAGCAGAGTCAAGGGCTACATTCCACACAGGTTGCCCCCACAGCGGGGCAGGGTTCCCCCACCTCCCACCTGGGACCCCTGAACAAAGGCCTCTCCTTTCCTGCCACCATGGGGACCCCGTTCCCTCTGTCTGACCATTGCTATTCCAGATGATGGGGGCGGGGGGGCTTGACGGACCAAAAGTAGGACCCAAGATTCTAGACCCGTTTCACACCTAGGGATCCTGGCTCCAAGGCCCTTCCTTCCCCTAGTTCCCAGGGGTTCCAGGTTTTAGCCCCCTCCTCTCTCAGGTCCAGATGGCATAGTGGGGATGCCTTGGGCCATGATCCGCAAGGTCAGCAGTTCGAAGCCATCAGCTGTCCCAGAGGAGACAAGACGGGGCTGTCTTACTCCCATAAGGAACCACAGTTTCAGAAACCCACAGGGGCCGTTCTTCCCTGTCCCCCAGGGTCACTGTGAGTTAGAATGGACTCGGGGGCAGTGAGTTTGGCTTGGTCTCTCAGACCCAGGGGTGCGGGGGACCCCAGTTCCTGCCTTCCACCAATCCAGAAGGCTGGGTCCTCAACCTGCACCCTCTTCCCGACCAGGAAGTCCAGGTCCCTCGACCTCTGGGGGCTGCCAGAAGTTGGTCACCCCTCTGTCCGGTCAGCCCTTGAGGCGAACTTCCCTTCCTGGGCCTGGCTCAGCTCCAGCCTCTGAGTCAGACTCTTGCCAGCTCCCCAGGTATTTTGGGAGCACCTGTCTGGGGGCCTGGGTAGTGGCTGTGGTGAAAGAGAGGGCAGGATTGCATCAGGAGGAGGCCCAGGAGGAGGAAGTGGCCGCTCATGTGTCTCTGGGCTGGACGGGGCATGGCGAGGGTTGGTGCCCGTCCAGGTGAGAGGTTGAGAGGCCCTGACACGTGTGTTGAGGTTGAGGTGGCTGTCCTGAGGACTCTGCTTGCACGTGTCAGGTTCTGCGTTCAGGAGATCAAAGAACATCATCGGGCCGGTCCCTTTGGCCCCTCCTACTGAAACCCTGCGGTTCAGATGGTCTGGAGCCGGCCGCCCTTGTGGAAGGAAATCGGCTACAACCAGCAGGGAAGGGGCTTCAGGGGATTCCAGCCTCAGACCCTGGGGTCCCCAAAGGCAGCCTTTCCTCTAGCAGACCCAGGAGTTTAAACTCAACAACTTCCTCCTCCTCCTCCCTCAATCCCTGGAGTCTGGCTCAGAGCCCCTGCTCCTGCAGACTCAGAATCCCCAGTCTCCTCCAGCCCAAAGGGCCCCCACCCCCACTCAGATTCATGAGTCTCAGCCTCCTCTCTCAGACCTTGAGACCCCCAACCCCCTTCTCCCTCAGACTCTGGAGTCTGGGGCCCCCCAATGTCCTTCTCCCTCAGACCCTGGAGTCTGAGATCCCAAGCCCCTTCTCCATCAGACCCTGGAGTCTGGGCCCCCCCAATGCCATTCTCCCTCAGACCCTGGAGTCTGGGGTCTCCAAGCCCCTTCTCCATCAGACCC